ATAAGGGATTTGGAGTCAGAGAACCTAGGCTCAGATCTTACTTCTGATACTTACTCTGTGACCTTGGACAGGTCACTTCCCCTCCCTGGGCCTCAGTTTCCAGCTCTGTAAAATGAGGGAAGATGGACCGGATGACCTCTGAGGCCCCTTCCAGCTCTAGAGCTATGATTCTTTTTTTTTTGAGGCAATTGAGGTTAAGTGACTTGCCTAGAGTCACACAGCTAGGGAGTGTTATGTGTTGGAGGCCAAATTTGAACTCAGGTCCTCCTGACTTCAGGGCTGGCGCTCTAAAGCTATGATTCAAAGTCAGCTTTTGAGCTGAGAAAACCAAAGGCGGATGCCTCTAACAGTCTCCTAGGCCACAAGCCTCTACTTTCAAGCCCTTACCACTCCCTGCCCTAAAAATAATTTGTTTAGGGATCTAAGACATCTCCAAGGGACTCATGGTAGAAAGTGCTATCCACATCCAGAGAGGGAACTGTGGAGTCGGGATGCAGATCGAAGCATACTATTTGCTCTTTTTTTCCCTTCTGTTCTGTTTTGTTTCCTCTTTCTTGTGGTTCCTCCTATTGGTTCTAATTCTTCTTTACAACATCACTAATGTGAAAACATGTTTAATAGGAATATATATGGAGAGCCTATATCAGATTGCATGCCATCTTGGGGAGGGGGGAAGAGAGAGGGGGAGAAAGTTGGGAATTCAAAAGCTTGCGGAGGTGAAAAAATAATTTGCTTAGCTAGAAATGGAAAAAATGGCACCTGTTCTCCCTCTGGACCTCTTCCTCTTGGCCATAAAAATGACAGCTTACCCATAATGACAATTTGGTATAATAAAAGAACTGACTAAAAAAACTGAAGTCCCAATCCTCCAAGAGTTAACAGCATCAAATTTAATTGCATAAACACTGAAGTGTCTACTGTGTGTATGTTATAGTGCAAGGCACTGCTAGAGAAACAAAAGTTAGATAAAATTTGGTTCCTCCCCTCATGGAGCTTACCATCTAGGAAGCAGGTAAGATACCATTATAAGCACAGATTACTATGGCATATAACATTCCAGAATAAGGGCAATAGAGAAGTGACATTCGGGTGCTATGAGAAGTTGGAGGGAGAAGGTCATCACTGATGTGGGGCTGGTGAGTGTCACAGAAGGAGTCCTGGAGAAGGTAGAATATCAAAGATGGGTAAGATCTGCCAACCAAACAACAGGAATGAAGATATGCCAGGCACAGTAAATGGATAGAGCGAACAAAGTCATGAAACTGAACCAGTGCCCCGTGTTGGCAAAAATAAAAGCCATTCAACATGGCTGATGCCAAAGGGGAAGGCAGAAGAGACAAAAGTGAGATAAGACTAGGACAGATAGGTGGCACCAGGGCATTGTGGAATGTCTTAAATGCCAGGCAAAGGGGTATGAGCTACTCCATAAGCAAAAGGGAGCTACTGAACATTGCTGAGGAGAAGACCTGTATGATCAGGTCTATGCCAATAGAAATAGTATCTTCCACAGAGACTTCAAACTTGAATCAAATACCTATCACTAAACTATACATAGACTATAGAATGTCAGAGCTGGAAGGGACTGGAGATGGTATCTTGTTCAGCTCTCATATTTTCTAGATGAGGAAGCTGAGGCCCAGATGGAAGAAGGGATATGCACATAGAAGGTGCTTTAATAAATGCCCATTGCATTGACTTAAAGTATATTGCCCAGGGTCACATAGCTACCAGGTAGGAGAAACAGGACTGGAACCCAGATCTTGCCAGGTCAGTGCTTTTTCTACTACACTGAATTAGTGCACTGAGAGATTCCCATGCATTCCAAATGACAGCTCCAGCCCCCAAAGCCAAGGGAACAGCACAGAAAGGGCAATTTAAAATGATCAAACTACCTTGTTTAGGAATCAAAGACTTTCAACTCGGCAGCTATTTAAAAAAAAAAAAAAGAGGCTCCACCTCTGTCCATCAAGGACTAGGGGAAATGGAAGAGGGAGCTAGCAGCTTAGAACTGTCAAGCCTAAAGTCTTCCCATAATACCTTTCCCAAAGACCAAGGTCCTAAATTAAAGGACTCAGAAAGTGCCCCAGAGCCAGAATAAATCATAAAAACAAACAAAATCAATCCTTTCAGGTCTGCTGTCTCCTGCTCACAGTGTGTGCAGTAGCCCCACCACTGCTGCAAGCCTTCCTGGAGCTGTGGCATCCATGGAAAGCTGGGGCATCCACGGAACATTGGGGCATCCACAGAATGCTGTCCATTCTGGACAAGCTGTCTAGAAAAAGTGACCCAAAACCCTGCAATCCTCAAAGCCCTCCCCAGGAAGAAAAACACAAAAATTCCCACCAGCAAATGGTAGGGGATGAGGACAACAGAGAGCATCCACCTGATGGAATACCAGCCAGACAAAGGGTCAGAGCTGGGATTGGGACACAGCTGGCCAAACCTCCATTGCAATTGCTCAAAGTGCTCATTAAAAGGCAGTCTGGCTTCCCCCACCCCAAGATGGAATCGAAGGCAAAGAAGGAAATGGTTGCCCCCCCTCCAAGACAGAAGCCAAGTGCAAGGCCTTGAAGGCTAAGAAGGTGGTATTGAAGGGTGTCCATTGCCACAAAAAGATCTGAATATCCCCTACCTTCCAGCAACCCAAGGCACTAAGACTTTGAAGACTGCCCAAATATGCTCAGAAAAGTACCCCTAAGAGAAACAAACTTGATCACTATGGCATCATTAAATTTCCCTTGACCACTGAGTCTGCTATGAAGAAGACTGAGGACAACAGCACCCTCATCTTCACTATGGATTTCAAGGTCAACAAGCATCAGATCAAAGAGGTGGTAAAGAAGCTGTATGACATTTACGTGCCAAGGTCAACACACTGATCCAGGCTGATGGAGGGAAAGCCTATGGAGGGTGCTGCCAACAAAATTGGGATCATCTGTCCAGCTATCCCACCTCCACCTACAATACAAAGTTTTCCAGTTTAAAAAAAAATCTGAATTGTCAAGCAGCTTCGGATTGATGCATCAAGTGGTGGGCTCAGCAAAGATTTTTTTTTAATTAATAAAATACTCAAAAGGATTTTTAGTCCATATGGCACAGTGACTACTGTTTTGTTTGTCTATCCTTGAATCTGATTCACTGCTAAGCCAGAACAGTGTATATAGTAGGCACTTAATAAATGCTTTTGAAGGAATAAATGTTTAGTTTTTATCCCTAACCCTGAAAAAAAATACCCTGAAAATGTGATAGAATTGAACCAGTAAGCTAAAAGTCATTGAAATATTAGCCAGGGTCCCAACTCTTACCCAATTCCATTCCCACAGTGTTCAAGATAGCCTGAAATTCACAGAAGACAAAAATCCAAGGAAAGAGCCTTTCCTGAGACCCAGAGCCATAAATGTCTTTACACAGATGCCGGGCAGTTTAATGTCACTGAGGCTTAGTGGGAGACAAAATTCATGAATAGAGTAAGGCTCTAGATGAGTTTACCTCATTCAAAAGAAACAAGACAGCAAAAAGGATGGTTGAGCAGGGTGGCACTATTTATTGATAAGGTGTATCCATGTAAGGAAATATAGGAACCAGGGGAAGAAGGGGAAAGATGTTGGAAAGCATTTGGGTGACATTCAACAGAGGGATACACAGAAATGATTTTGTTGAACAATCAATTAAAAGCATTTATTACATTCTTATTTTATGCCAATTGAAAATAATCCCTGCCCATTCCTTAACATACTACTAGGGAAAGATGACACATATAGGCAAGTGGTAGCCAAGGAAAAGTATTTTGGGTTGTAACATTATGGGGAAGGGTGAGGGCCTAGAGTAAGTGGGCCATGTGAGGCCCTCCCCAGTGGACAGGGCAGCAGATAGATGCCCATCACCTTCTTAGTCCTATACACTATGCCTCTCTTAATGCAGTCTCAAATCATGGGAGACTGGGGCAGGTGGAACCTGCCCTGTCATACTGGTGATTCATACTGGTGGCGCTTTTAGTCCACTGAAACACCCAGATCATCTTCAGACGTATACTGTCATGCCTCCTACATCTCCTATCTGTCAAGTTAATTTCCAAATCTAAGTGAAAATGTTAGATGTATCACTATAATAATACATTTTATTAGATTCATCCCAACATTCTAGCCAGTCAAGATGTTTCTAGATTCTGACTCTCATCACCCAATCTGTTAATTCTCCCTCTCTGCTTTATGAGGGAAAACACATTATCTGCGAACATGACGAGCACTGTCTTTACCTTTTAGCCAAGTCATTGTACAGAATGTTAAAAATAACCAAAAAAGCCCCAAGACAGATTCCTGGGTTGTTCCACTAGAGAGTTCTTTTCAAATGAACACTGAACCACTATTGACTACTCTTTGGATCAGGCCAGGTGGTTCTTTTTTTTTTTCCTTTTTTTTCTTTTTTTTTTTCCTTTTTTTTCTTTTTTTTTTCCTTTTTTTTTCCTTTCTTTCTTTTTTTTACCGAACACAATAAAATGTAGTTATTTTACACAGGTTAACATAATATATCACAAGAAAAACTAAACATAGAATTTAATAAAAGTAGTACTTCTGGAAGTGACACGTTTGATACTAGGAACAGTCCTAAGGTCAAGGCTTAAGATAAAAGACCCTAAGAGTGTTTCACAGCCACTTCTGTATGAGGTGCTTCTCCTCCCTCAAAATTCATCAGAAGGGTAAAGGCCCCTTTCACCCCAATCCTCATCACACCTTCATTTCAGTCCTACCACCAACCCTCATTTTATCTACAATTCAGCCCTGTCCCAACCCTCATTTTGCCTTCAGTCCCATCCCAACCTCCATTTTACCTTCAGTTCACTCCTGCCCCAACCTTCATTTTATCTACAATTTAGCCCTATCCCAACCCCCATTTTACCTTCAGTCCCACCCTAACCCCCCTTTTACCTTCAGTTCATTCCTGCCCCAACCCCCATTTTATCTACAGTTCAGCCGCACCCTCGAACCCCATTATATCTTCAGTTCAGTACCAGCTCTCAACCCCCAGTGTATCTTCACAGTCCAATCAATAGTAATATGGCTTATATCTTATCTGATCAGCACAATGTCTTCCTTGAGGTGGACCCTGCATTCGTGCAGTTGGAAGTAGATGTTGGGGTAGCGCTCTTGGTGCAGGCCACATACCAGGCCTCAATCCACCTGGCTGTGTGAATGGACGCCTAAGAGTTTCTTTATGTTCAGGAAACCACCGACAAGAGTTAGGATAACTGTGGTGAGGTGCAGGGACCTTTACAGGCAGACCACCCTGTCCAGGGCGGGGAGGTAGTCCTGGTATAAGATGATGCACATACGGCAGCTTCTGGGCACTGATATGTCCAAAGGGTGGAGGAACTGGTGGGAGAACAGAGGTCACCGGTGGAGAAAAAGCTTGGCTATAAACAATAGGAAAAGTACCTGCTGCCTGGGAAGGATGCTGCATTGGGTGGCTCACTGGTAGTGCAGGAGGTGGAGGAGGCAGAGGTGGTGGTGGTGGTCCATAATGTAGACACGGAGGTACAGTAGGAGGAGGGTGAGAAATCACTAGTTGACCTTGAAATTCAGTATTCTGGTGAGCAAGTGCTGGGACAGGAGGTGGTGGTTCTCTGGCACCTGAACTTGAATCATTCTGAATAGGAACAGTTATTAGATTGCTAAACTTTCTTGTTGAAAATCCAAAGGATTCCTGCCCCACCCAAGGAAATGAGGGTGGGGGTGGAGGCATCAATACCTCCGCAGAAAGAGCTCCAGTGTCCTCACATGGTCGATTACAATGCTCCCCAGGTACATGCTGTAAAGGGGGTGGTGGCATCCTGATGTGCTGCTTTGGTTGAATATGGCTCACTTGATGCTCATCTAAAGGTGTTGTAAAACGATCAGGAATCTCAGCTGGTGGTGGACCAATAGGAGGATGAACATTTTTGATCAGAGTAGGAGTAACAGACTTTATGGGTCTCAAATGGCGGTGGTTGATGTGAGCCTGTAAGTCTCTTTGAGACAAGTATGTTCTCTTGCACCCTGGAACCATGCTGCACATGAAAAGCGAACCCAGCATATGTTGTTCAATTATCTGTACTGCGTCATTGCAGCCTGGGCATATCTTATTTGCTCTGTTTACATGCAAAATAACACAGCCATAGCAAAAAACATGCTTGCATGGTATCAGGCGCCCATAAATTTTAATAGGTAATTCACATTTATCACATAAATGGATTGGAGTATCATCCTTTACACCTAAAATGTTTATCTTAAAGTCCCAAAAAATACTTCCAGGGCCTTTTAGTTGATTTTTAAACAGTTCACCCTTTCTATGGTCATACCTTTCTTCTTCATTATGATCACACCTGCCTGCCATCCTGTTCATAGTCCTTGTAGTTCCAGGGGCAGGTTTGCCTTCGTTTGTCTTTCTGGATACTGGTTTCATAGGAACTCGTCCTCGAAAATCAAGGCCACCGTACGATCAAACCTTGAAAATCATTCAGCTTGGTCCGCGCTTCAGCTCGAGGTGCACTGTGGGAGCAGAAAACTGCAACGCCCAAGCCACCAGTAGCACAGCGCCTGCGCTGTGACCCCAACTGAACCCAGTCGGCGGGAAATGAATCAAGGGAGGCTCTTGCAGGGGCCTCTGCAGGGAGAAAGTTCAGAGTGGTTTGGGATTGGTGGAGCGATAGAGAAGGAAACTGAGAGAGCACAGAGGACGGTTGCATAGTAGAGGGCCAACAGAGCGCCCCCTAGGTACAGGAAGACCACGGAGACAGAACAGCCCTCTCCCTCCGGCGGGAGAGAGCAGACCCAGGCCAATCAGTTATAAATCCACCTAGTCCACATTTTTCCATCTCATCAGTGAAAAGAGTAGGAGAGCAACAGACAAATGCATTGCTGAAGTCAGTCTCCTTATCAGCAAAATGATAGGGTTGCCCTTCCAGCACAGGATCTAGGACCCTGTGATCTATGCAGTAACTCTGCCCTGAGGCACTCTCCTGGCCGGTTCTTAATGACATTGCAGGGATCCCTATCTTAGTTTATACTTGTCTGCTAACCATCTCTTTAATAATACATTTTAGAATTTTACCAGGAATCAATGTCAGGATCACTATCCTACATTTGTCAGATTCTACAATTTTCCATTTTGGAAAATCAGAACATTTGGCCTCTCTAATTTTGCAGTACCTTGCCTATTTTCTATGCTTTTTCATAGGTTAATACCAGTGATAGCCAGACAGTTCATCTGGGCCTCATCAAGCAAGGACAGCTGGGTACTCTCTCACCATCTCCCTACTAATCTTAGAGTCCAGCTCCCCACTAGCCATTTATATTGTTCTGACCTTTGCAATCCAAAGATAAGATATCAAAGATTTAAAGCTAGAAGGGGCCTTTGAGGTCAAGTCCAACCCCCTCAGCTGAAAGGGATGAAGAAAGTAAGGCCCAAAGAGGTAAAGTCACTTGCCTGAAGTCCCCCAGGCAGAAAACAGCAGGAATAGGATGGGAAGCCAGGACCTGTGACTCTGAATCCACCTCTTTTCACTGCACCATGATGCCTCTTTCCCAAGATCATTCTCCTTGGCAAAGGAAACTTCATCTCTTTAATGTCATCAATTACCATTCAGTGGTCCCTTCTCTTCTTTTATTCTCCTCTTAGCATCCCAGCCAATCTCAACTCCTAATCCTATTTTTGTGTGGTATGCTTTCATATTCATTCTCCATTAGCTGTATCTTTGGTACATGTCTTTTTAAAAATATAAGGTGGGCAAGAAGATTCATGTGCATCTACACTGGTCTCTTTACACAACTCCCTTTTTCAAACTTCATCAGAATTTTTTCTCTTTGTAACCTCAAAATTTCATTCTTAAAAGTTTGCTATCCTTCCTGGACTGACCTCCCCCTACAATTTTCATACACGAGACAGTTCGGTGGTACAGCAGATAAAGCCTGGAATAGGCCTGGAGCCAGGAACATCTGATTTCAAACCCATCCTCAGACACTTACTTGCTGTGTGAACCTGAGCAAGTCACTTGACTTCTATTTGCCTCAGTTTCCTCAACTGTAAAATGGGAACCTAGCACCAACCTCACAGGGTTGTTGTGAGGATCAAAGGAGATAAATTGTAAAAAGCACTTAGCATAGTAGCCTGGTACCTAGTAGGAATTATATCAATGCTTATTTCCTTTCCTTTCCTTCCCTTCCCATGGAATCCTACCTATACTTTCTCTGAACCCTATAAAATCCATTCGCCTGAAATATAGTGTGTATGGCAGAATGGACTTAGCATTCCTCTCCTCCATCACCAGTCCTGGCTACTTCTCTCCAATGTTACCATCATTTCTTCTTCAGCCAGCAGTTCTCACTTGGTAAGAGTCAGGTCCAAAATAGCATTTATTGGTTCTTTAATCTTTTGACAAATAAAATTATCATTAAGCAAGAAATTATTAGCTACTTTGATACTAATACAGTCCTAGCAGAGATGCCCAGATAATCACAGTCTTTGATCATTAGAAAATCATGCAGACATGTGCCAGGCTTGATACATGTTTCCCAAACTCTTCATAGATGGTTTCTTTCTGTCCAAGCTGCCAGTAGTATCACACTGATGGCACTATTCTTTCTGCCTCTGCCTCTAATTGATCTCTGGGCTCTCTACCTTGCTTCTCCCAACTGGTTCCTAGGTTTCCTTCACAAAGGAACACTACCTTCATATACAAGGCTCCTCTGTCCCACTACCTAACCCCCACCTATTCTATGATCTAATCTATTCTTGGTATACTTGTACGTCCCATTCTACTATGTCTCAGTGATACCTATGAGGTCAAACTTTCTACCTAGTGTTAAAATCTCTACTTCATGCTGATCTCTGAGCACAGACTGAAGCACACGTAGTTCACTTACTTTATTTTTCTTGCCTTTTTTTTGCAACGTGGCTAATATAGAAATATGTTTTGTATGACTTCACATGTATAACTGATATATTGCTTGCCTTCTCAAGGGGTGGGGGAGGATTAGAATTGGAGGGAGACAATTTGGAATGCAAATTTTTAAAAAATAAATTTTAAAATAAAGTATAATTAGTTTTTTAAACCATTAGTTCACTTTGAGCCATACTTTGTGCATTTGTATATAGCTATCTGAAGCCAGAGCTTCTATTGCCCTTCCTTGTTTTCTCTCTTATGAATCTCTGGGTGTTTCTAAGGATATTTTTCTTTCAAATTATAGTTACTTTTTATGTTATATAGCTTGATGGAAAGAAGCAGACTTCTTTCTTCCCTTTCCCTTTCAATTTAAATGCCCTTTAGATTTGTAAGATTATAGGCAAACATTTTTGCCAGATTTTGTTAGGTCCATTCCATCCCTGCCTGTAGGCTTATCATTCCTGTGTGTTAAGCTATGGTCAAGGAAACCAGATGCCATCCTCGGCAACTATCTTCTTAACCACCTGTTTGCTTCCCAAATCTTCCTCTCTCTCTTTTGAATTCCTTATCTGCAATTGGCAACAGTAATATCCCTATTGACAAAGTCCAATTTCTTGTCCAACAAACTAAGCTGCCAGGGATCCTAAAACAATGTCAGGGCAAGATGGAACCTCAGAGGACATATAGTCCAATGTCCTCATTTGACCAACCATCTGCCCAAGACCACACAGGTACTAACTGGGACAGCCTGAACTTGAACCCATTCTTCTGATTCTAACAACAACTACCATGAAGACTGCTATTAATGAGAGCTAACATTTATATAGACGTTTAAAGTTAGTGAAGCACTTCATATACAACATCTTATCTGAGTCTCATGACAAACCTGTGAAATAGCTGCTACTAGTATTATTATTAGCATTTTACAGATGAAGAAACTGAGGCTGAGAGGTTAAGTGACTTGTGAATGGTCACATGGCTCTTAAGTGTCAGAGGCAAGATATGAACCCAAGTCCTCCTATCTGCTATATCCCATCCTTCTCACACTGTGCTTGGCCTCCTCCCAACTCAATACATATTTATGTGCAGGGCACCAAGTTAGACTCTATGGAGGTCTCTGAAAGGGTCATGGCATAGCCACTGCCTTATGGGACAGACTCACACTCCAGGAGGAGAGAGAAGATGGGGACTCAAACAATTATACCACAAGGCAGGATTTGAAAACCCAAGAGGGAAATACAAAATACTCTAACTTGTTCAGGGGAGAGACATATCAGTCCCAGTTGTGGGGAACAGAAAAAGGTTTCTGAAGAAGCTTCACTTAAGTGGGCTTGGAAGAATGAACAATGAGGCAGTGTGAGTGGGCTGGGAGGAAGACAGCCATTGCAAATGGAAGGAATGGTGAATGTCTACTATGTGCCCAACCATGTACCACGTTGGATGACGGGGCTGTGGTATCAACACAAAAGAAGAGACACTGTCCCTGTCAAAGGAGCTTACTCAAGTTTGTTTCGTGAGGTAAGACAAATAAAATGGGTATGGAATTTCGAGGAAGATTGAAGTTAAAAAAAATGAATAGGGAAAGATATCAAGGAACTCTTTATGTCATTTTGAAAAGGGGAAGAGAGGGAGCTCATAAAAAATTACCTCAATCTTCTCAATAAAGTATGAGGAGAGATCCTCAGTTGAGAAAGGGGAGGGGAAGGGAAAGAGGTTTGATAAAATTGTTTTTGGGGTGTTTTTTTGTTTTTTTGGGGGGCTAGGCAATGGGGTTAAGTGACTTGCCCAGGGTCACATAGCTAGTAAGTGTTATGTGTCTGAGGCCAGATTTGAACTCAGGTCCTCCTGAATCCAGGGCTGGTGCTCTATCCACTGTGCCACCTTGCTGCCCCTAGGTTTGATAAAATTGTGATACATGAATGTAATGGATTATCTCATAAGAAATGAAGGAAAGGAGGAATTCAGAGAAATATGGGAAGCCTTATATGAACTGATCCAGAATAAAGTAATCTGAGCCAGTACAATAGTATACATGATGATAACAACATAACAGTAGTATACATGATGATAACAACATAAGTAAAACATAAGTAAAAAAGGACACTAAAATGAAGCCAAATGCTATGTGAGTGTAATGACCAATTTTGAGATGGGGAAATATACCTCCCACTTTTTCACAGAAAGGTAGCAATTATGCGTGTAGAATACTGCATGTACTGTCAGATATAGTCATTGAGTTGGTTAGTTTTAACTATCTTTCTCTGTTACAAGTGAAGGCTGACTGTAGGCCCATGATATAAAAACAAAAAGACATCAACAAAATGTTAATTTTCTTAAAAAGAGAGATATTGACCTGAATAAGTGTAGTGACTGTGAAAGGAGAGAGGAGGACCATAAATATGACATATTTCAGAGACAGACGGACAGGACTTGTCCGTATCGGTTGGATACTGTGAGCCTGGGTAACTGGGAAGATGGAGGTACCAGCAACAGAAATTGAGATATTAAGGAGAGAGGCATGTTTTAGGGACAAGATTATCAGTTCACCTTCAGATAT